GGAATTTTTTTAAAGTAAAATGTAAACCTAATTATTAATGAAACAGTAAACAAAAGTGTATTCATATTGATGTCGCTAAAGACTTGATACGTTAAATAGTTATATTTAATTCATTTTTTTTTCTGGAAAAGTGCAGCTAACCACTTTTTTACCTGAAAAATTAGACAACCTTTAGACTAGTCCACTTTAGGTAACTCTATGTGATCCAATCTAGAAAACTTGTACATTTTTACAAAAACACGTTTATCTTACATCTATTATCACATACATCTATTTTTGAATTCCATCTATAATCGAAATCTATAATCAAAAATTGCAAATACGCAATTGCACTTCCTAAGGGTATGATAATATGCCATGGTTTTTAATTAAAAACATCCACATGATTTTTAGCCTTTTATTTAAAAAAAAATTTAGTCAAGATTCTTAAATATAAAGCCTTTTTTTCCTGTTTCAAACTAACTATAAACAACGACTTCTTTTAATTTTCTTTGAATCACAATAAAATTCAACAGCATTACTACATGATGATTTTAAGTTTTCTGGTCTAATCTGAATAATACTCTGTAACTCCTTTCTATATTTAGAAACAATTTAATATATTTGCTAACTAATTTATTCACAAGTATTATAATTTCGTATTATATAGATATATTTAAAAATATATATACAAGTTTGATTTAAAAGGCAATAACAAATTATTTATAAGTATTTCTTTTTCCTATGTGAAATAAAGAATGATCACTATGATCTTTTTCTACAGATGCTTGTCACAGTTTTTATTGCAAAAAAAGTTTATTCATTTGTATAACTTACGCTTTCTTTCTTTCTTTTCTAAAAATTTATACTTCCAATTATTTTTACATTAACTTAAAATTTTAGAAAAGTGAAATGCTACTTACATTTTGTTTACAATTAAACAATTAAAGGGACTATAAAGTGTAAATCGAAATCAAGGTTATAACAAAAGATGAATCTTTTTACATTAATTACCACGAACTCTTTTTAACATTAATTGCATTTTTTAAAAATTTAATATCCACACTCTCTTTCCTTAAAAAACTTTTCATTTAACTTTATTTTTTAAAAACTCTATTCCATATATTTATTCAAACATATATATTACACTTAATAAAAAAGTAATGTTAAAATGAAAATACCATTCCTTATTCCCAAAACTCTCTAACTCTTGTAAAATATCTGTTTTTGAAGGTATAAAATTGTTCATAATTAAATGTAAATTTATTTTCAATTGTATAAAATGCATCAAACAATATTTTTAAATAATTAGTTTGAATTAATAGTTAACAATAACAGAAATATAAATTATTTAATTAGTAAGTTTTTTTTCCTAAGTTATCTTAAACAAAAATGAGAATTACAAAAAGAAAATTATTAATCTAAAGACTAAAATGTTGGGTCATGATCATTTAGGCTTACTTTTAAGTATATCTTATATATAAAATAAGCATATCTTACTATAAGTTATAAATATGTATAGGCGATTAAATATGTTATAAGTGATAACCGTAGTACGATTTTCTTACGTTTAACTATATCAATATTATACCTGAATTTCTGGAATTATATGTTTAACATACATGAATCATGCAATACCAAACATCTTCATATTCTATGTATTACGACAGATTTTCTCTATTTACTTAAAAACTTTTAATCGCATATTTTTAAACATAATAGTAGGTAAACAAATGTGATTTTGATCTTTAATATTTATAAAAACTAATAATGTGGAACTGTTAAAAGAATTAAAATTAAGATATATAATCTAATAATTGATTTTTCTATCTAAATGATTCTATCTATCTATCTATCTATCTATCTAATAATTCTATCTCTCTATCTATAAATCTATATATCTAAATAACTGACTTTTTAGTAATTAACGTTATTGTGATTACATAATTATTACAAGCATAGTTTTTCTTTTTTTTAAAATTAACAATATTAGATATAAATAAATAATGAAATACAAAAATATATTTATTCAATTAAAGTTTCAAAATTAATAAACACGTAATGAGTTAAATATAAATATCAAACAAATTGAGGAATTCATAATTATTCCGATGAACTTAAAACTTAATTTTCAATGGTTCCTCACTAATAAATATATATTACTAACTATTATTTATTTGATTACTATTTCCTAAAAATCAATAAAAATTCAAAGATAGTGAAAGATAGTTTTAGAACAGAAAACCTTTGAAAAGAATTGTAAATAAAGTAAAAATTAAAAATCATTCCATCCATTTTAAGTCAGAATAAGAACGGTAATATGTATTTAAAATAATTTTCTTAAGTCGTCTAATAGGAAACATTAATCACTTTTAATTACTTACAATCAATGTCATATAATCTATCCATTTCAAATAATTGAAAAAATTATTCTTATAGCAGTAATAAAAAAATGGAAAAAAAATTTAATAATGCTTTATTGAATATTTTACTGACATGAATCAGAACTAACTTTTCTTTTCAAAAACTAAATTTTATAAAAATAATTTAAAATAATTTATAAGGTGAAGAAAATTATTGAATTGTAATATATATCTAATTTTTCGCTTCACAATTATTCACTAATTTTTCCCCTACAAACCATTTTTTCATAATTAGTAATAAAACAAACGAAATGTTAACACTTTGGGCTATTTAGAATAAAGCAAAAAACAGCATGATTAAAGCACAAATAAGAACCTTCTACTGTGGATGGTTCCTGTTTATACAACAAACTATAGTAGGTCAATTTATTGTACTTTCTTCGTAATATTGTACTATTCGTATTGTACTGTTGTATTGTTCTTCGTTTGCGTTTTTTTTTTTTTTTTGCTTTAGTATAACGTTGGTACTTACTGTTTTGAAATATTTTATTCTAAATACAGCCTTTCGTGAATTTTTTTAAACTTTAAATCTCTAAAATTTGCATCAAACAAAATCTTTCCCTTTCTCTTACAATAAGAAAATGGATATTACAATGAAGATGTAATTTAATATTTCAGAAAAAGTAAGCCATTAGGAAATAAATTTCCTTTTTCACGAATATAATTCGCGCGATATAATTAAACATTGGTACAAAAAGTTTATAGGCAAATAGTTATAAATTATTCATTCTAAACTAGTTCCAATAATGATAAGCTGACTGAGAGAATTGTCAAATAGTTTTTTTTCTGAAAATAGTTTTGAGTTGTATCTTTGTATCAAGATATAGTATTTATCTAGTGTTACCTACCAGAATTCTTCTTTCAATAATTATAATTTTTTGTTGAAAATTTAACGAAGCTCCATTTGGTAACTATAATCCTTGGTATAGTAACTAATCCAGTGAACTGCAACCACTGTTCAATTATCAGTTAACCTGAAATTCTTTGGATTGACGCTAACTAAATCACAATTTTCATTAAAAATAGTTTCAAAAACACAATTAAGCAGCAACAATAAGAACTGACAACCAAAGTCAGACCGTTTCAAGTAAATTCTGGTCAAAAAGATGAGAAAAGCGAGAGTTTTTTTTCTTCCTGAGTTTTACACCATCTAAATTATAGCACTTTAAAAATTGTTTTTAAAGTAATTTTATCGATTTAGCCAACACAATCACAACTAGCAACCAAAATCAAACTGATCCAGGGACCTTCTGACCAAGAAGGTGAGAAAAGCGAGGGTTTTTTTTTTTTCTGAATTTGATACCAACTAAATTATAGCACTTTAAAAATTGATTTTAAAAACATAATTTATAGATGAAGCCGGCAAAATCGCAACTAACGACCAGAGTCGAACTGATCCAAGGACTTTCTAACCAAGATGGTGAGAAAAGCGAGGGTTTTTCTTCCTGAGGTTGACACCAACGAAATTATAGCACTTACTAAGAACTGTTTTAACAATCAGTTTTTCGATTAAGTCGTCACAATCACTACGAATAATCTGAGTCGAACAGATCCAAGTACCTTCTTATCAAGAAGGCGAGAAAAGTGATGGTTTTTCATCTTGAGGTTGAAACTAACTAACTTATAGTACTTCGCAATAATGTTTTTAATATTTTTTTTTCTCGATTGAGCTGATACAATCGCAACTAACAACCAGAGCCGAATTGATGCAAATGCCTTATAACAAAGAAAGTGAGAAAAGCTGAGGTTGACACCAACTAAATTAAAGGACTTGCTGATAATGGTTTTAATTATCATTTTTTCGATTAAGCCGGCACAATCACAGCTAACAACCTAAGTCAAACTGATCCAAGTACCTTCCTGTCATGAAGGTGACAAAAGCGAGAGTTTTTTTTCTTGAGGTTGACACTAACTAAATTACAGCACTTTCTGAAAATAGTTTTAATAATCATTTTTTCGATTAAGCGGACACAATCACAACTAACAACCAGAGTCGAACTGATCCAAGTACCTTCTGACCAAGAAGGTAAGAAAAGGGAGGGTTTTTCTTCTTGAGGAGATTTATGTGTGGCAGTGGCCTATGATCAAATTTGGGGCGGTCTGGGCTTTCTTCTACTAACCGGGTTAAAGCAGCGCCCAAATTGAGTCTAAGCAAGAAAAATGACGTATATTGGGCCTTGCTGAAGAAATATGAATCTGCAGACCGAGAAAATCAGGTTAGCTGCTAGGGATCTAAATAGTCATCCTTTGGATTATTCAGCATCGACCTGGCGCTATCAAATTATTTAATTTCCGGGAGGCCTTTTCCTTTCCTCCTCTTGCCTTGCCCCCCGACCAACCCCGACCCTCCACCTAACGGTAACCGAGTTACTGCGGCCCAAGCGTTTAAAGGCAAGAGCTTCTGCTTCGCGTTTCTGTAGTTGTAGGAGGCACTTCGTCCTGCGGAGGTAACATCTTACAGGCATTAAAAAAAAAGTAGTTGAAAGAGAATTTTTACCACCAAATTCAATTTGGGGGAAATATATTTCTTTCGTCTCGGTTTCGTTGGTAATATTTTTTTTAACCCAAAGGGGAAAAAAAAAGTTGAAAAATACTTACTTTGCAACGCCATTCCTGCTGAGCTGAAGACGGAGACTGGACCTTGATCGTGACGTGGTCTGGCAGCCACCATACCACAAGGTGGGGGACCTACAGCTGTTGGACCTCCAAATGATCGGGGAACAGCTGCTGTGCTATATCTATAGGCTGCAGCCGATGTCATCTGACTGCAGGAACCTAAATCAGCATATGAGCAAGGCAACTGGCAGCTTGGCAATTCCATGCCACCCAGTGAACAACTTGGGTCAAAAGTTGGCTGGTTCAAGTACGGATAGTCCATACTGACTGCCAGAGTGGAGGAGTGAAGTAGCGAAATGGTGACTGGTGGATTGTAAGGAAAATATGGCAAATTTGGATTTCTAAGGACTTTTGACTACGAGATTTAAATTAAATCTGAGATTTTCATTTACTCGAGGATTTAATTTTGTTAGTTCTCAATGTAAGAAAAAGGATTGACTGCGTTTTAAGGAACAATCATTTGTGATTAACTCTCTAAAAATTACTCTATCTCTTCGGCTCCTAGCTAACGACTGTCTGCCGCTTTTCTCCAACCTGTGAGGGCCCTAGCTTTTAACTAAATGATGTTTCTCCCTCGCATGTGAATGCAAAAGCGGAATGCGGGGAGGCAGCGGCAACCGCTAAGAGAACGCAGGGTTGAAAACTGTAGGAGAGAATGGATGCTTGCTCCTCGTGCTCCGATCCTCATCCCCCCTTACCCCATTGCTCTCCCACACCCTCCTCCATCCCTGTGAGGGGTAGAAGAGGGGTATAAGGGATGCTCCGCCTCACGTGACCGCCCGCCAATAGCTCTCGCGACTGTTAATCGAATTAAAATTTACCGTCACCGACGTTGTGCTCGGAAGAGAAAACAGTCCTCTCTCCTCTTCTCTCTGTGCTCTTCGTCTTCCGAAGATGAGGATGGAGTGGGTGGGGTAAAACTTTGCCTTCCCCCCTCTCTCCTAATGGAGCATGACGAAACAGGGGTCATTAGGTCAGCTTGGTGACACTGGGCCCACTTAAGCGGAATTGGTGCGCTGTGAGAGTTGTTATATAAATAATATTACTTCGGGTTCGGAAAACGAGCACCTGCAACTGCATGATGCAAGCACTTTCTAGAGAGGAGATTAAATTGCAATTAACAAATACATTGCTGTATGATTGCATTGAAAGGTTGATACAAAATTGTCTTGCTTCATGAGGTGATACAATTAAAAGTAGAATTTACATCTTTCAATAAGAGAATAAATGAATGATTTTTTTTAAATGATTTTTTTTTAAATATTTTCAATTGTTTTATTCTTATCATGCTTTTTATACTGCTCAAATTAAATTTTCATGTATATTACTCTCTGATTGCATCGCAAGTAATATTTATGATGCAAACTGCCGTATGGTAATATTGAAAAGTTGATACAAAATCATTTTGCTTTGTAAGGTGATACGGCTAAGAAAAAAATAACTGCTTTTAATAAGAGAATTAATTAAAAATGAATTCTTTTTCATGTTATTTCTCAAGGTTATTTAATGTTATAAGCATTTTCTACTGATGTGTTCTTGTTTTTTTTTTAAATTTCAATGAATTAATTTAACTGTTTAGTTAAAACTTAAATGTCTGCTGTTAGTTGATAGTAAATATTTTTAATGAATTTCGTTAAGACTTACATTGAAGATTTTCCACAAAATCATCGTACACTGTTAGATGCTATGATTATAATCAAAAATTACAACTTTATTGCGAGAGTTGAAGGAACATTTTTTTAAACCAACCCAACACTTTAAGAATTTAGCTCTAAAACGTACGTATTCATAAACTCTATATCCCAAGAAATGTTAAATCTATTTTATTTAACTAATAAATTATCCATAAACTGTAATTATATCAATAGGAAATTACTTAGATTACAAAAATTTATGAACTGAAAATATAACATACTTTGCTCATGAGAAAATTAAGGGGATATAAATTAAGCACAGATGCTTGCAATTGTAAATTACAAAAAATAAATTAAAAAACAATTAAACATATTTTATTAACTTATTTAATTGGTGTTCGAATCGTTTTCGTATATTTGTTCTTGGTTGATTTGATTTTGCATTCAAATTTTTTTAGCTTGAGTTATTTAATTCCCAATTAATATTTCGTGCTGTTCCGTGCTTTCGAGTACTTAAATTTCCTCAACTAAAAATTATATTTGTGCCTAGTGTCATAAAAATAATTTTAGCTTTACTGCGCAAAAAAGATAATAACTGTAAACCTTTATCAACTTATTTTAAAGCAAGTATGTACTTTGAAGAACTCAGTTATTTCTACATTAGAGATAAGATGAGATTAAAGTATTAAGTAAATTTTAATCGCAATCAAAATATTCAGGTATAACGTGCAATTAATAGTTTAAAAAATAAATAATACAAAAAATAGCTTTATATTCTACAAGAAAATATATCCAACTTGAAGTATTAATTACTTTGAATCATGATAGTAAATTAATTAATTTGAATCATGTTAGTAAATTAATTAATTTGAATCATGAAGCAAGAATTTTATTATAGAAAAGTATTTAAAAGCTTGGTGAAAATCGGAAAAATGTAGGAGATAAAATTACGAATATTTCTAATAAAGCTTAAAAGGCAAATTGTTTTATGAAATATTGTTTCAATTACACATTTACTTAAAACAATATTGTTTTATGAGTAGAACTTAAAGTCTTCGTTATAATGTTCCATTCATAATTCACTATCACTTGGAAAATTCTGGTAAAATTACCGTACTGTATGATGATGGCATTTCTGGTAAAAAGAAAGCCATAATTCTGGTCAATAAAACCAAAATATACGGTATTTAAACCATTCATTTTGTAATTTTTTCGTCCATATGGTAGCTGCTTACCGGAAATTTTGTTTTTCAAAATATAGTTCTTATTGCTGCTCATTTAGTTTATTTTAACTATCAATTTTTTTTTTCATTTTCATTTATTTATTTATTTATTTTTATGTTTTTTTTTTTCAAATAGAAAATGTGGCGTGGAAACTCTGAAAATGGCAATTAAAAAAAAAAAAAAATTCCCTTCCCTGCCGTTATGAGCCAATCACCTTCCACAAAGCAAAATAAACAGATAAAATGAATTATTAAAATGAAAAATAATAATAAAAAATCATCTTCAGAAGTTCAGGAGCCAAAATTAAAATTTTTTTTAATTAATTCCGACTCATATAATTTTTTTTTTAAAAAAGTATAATTAATTAAGAAAAACATGTTTCGTGGGATTTAATAGAAAATATAAATTTTTCAAAACAATTCAAGACTTTTTGAATTCTTTTATTAGACTTTCTAATATTCGAATACTTAGTTATTACAGTGAATAATATTTCTAATTATTTTATATTACAGAATTGAATAATTCCAATATTTGAATACGCATAGACTAATATTTGTGAATAGCATAATCTTTAAGTGTTAACCTATTTTCTAAGGCTCAAATTTCTGAGAACTAAACATGGGCTTCCGACTTTGTGTGATAAACTTTTGTTTGTTCCGATTTAGCAAGAGATTAAAATATTTATAAAATTATTTACAGTTTCAGTTTATGCACTACAATATAAACTGAACTATATTTTCTGTGTTTAATTTTTTTCTTCATTTGAAAAAAAAAAGCAGCATACCCAAGCAAATGCAAATGAAAAATAAATGACGCAGAAATAAATTTTAAGGCTGATTGGAGATAAATCGCGTCATGAGTGGTAAAATTAGATAAAATTATTAAAACTTTATTTTTGTTAAGAGTATAGATGATTCTTCAATGAACATAAATCTAGAATCAAAACCATCCCTCTTTAAAATATGAAAATTGTTTTAAATTATGTTCAGAATATCAACAATTGCGTTTGATAACAAAAATAAGTGATAAAAAAATATTTACATATTTTTTTAAATGACGGTTTTGTATCGTGTTTAAGTTAAACCATTTAAGGATTAAAAATATCGAATTTTTCTGCATCGAAAAATAAGTGATAAGAAAAGGATGATAAGGATAGAGAGGATAAAGAAAAGGATGATTTTTGTAATGTGTTTAAGTAAGACCATTTAATGACCATTACTATGGAATCAGATCCATCCCATCGAATCCCTTAATGCATGAAAATTGATTTGAATGATGTTTGGATTATCAATTCATCAATAATTATCAATATTTCCGTTTGATAACAAAAATAAGCAACAAAAAGGAATAATAAAAAATTTTAAAAATAGGTAATTTTAAAATTCCTTGTTTGACAATTTGATAATCTTATCACTTGCGTAAATTGCTAATAGCCATGTGCAATTTAAACAAGCGTGGGAAAGGGTAGAATACTTGGAAGGGCTAGAATTTTTATCTGATTTCTGATCCTATATCTTGTCTGATGGCGTCAACATTATCTACACTTATTTTATTTTTTTAATTCTTGCTAACAATTTTTTAATGCTGAATGATTTCTGTTAAACTTCTCTGTCAACTTCTTAAAATAAAATAATTTTCAATTTAAGCAACCAATTATTTATTTAAAATGATTTGCAAATAAAACAGTTATGTTGTAGAAGTTAATTAGTTATGGGTTTGTATAATTTATTAATAAGAACCAATAACTATTTGAAGAAAAATATTAAAAAAACAAAACACTTAACTGCAACACATTTAAAAGTAAATTTGGCTTTGTTAATTGAAAAATTCTAATGGGAGTCCATTTCTACTTCTTTTTATCTTTTTTGGAGATGATCGTTCCTTTTAACTGTAAATATAAATAATAGGTTTGGAAAGAAAGGCAAATTGCAGTTTGATAAGATACAGAAAAGAGAAAGGAAAAAAAAGGAAGTCAGAAAATATCAACAGAAATCGACAAGCTATTAGCCGAATGCGCAGCTAGCCAAACTCGAGTCTTTTTCTTCCTGATTAAAATCCTAGACAAAGCTTTTACTTTTTTCTTGTGCGTGCCTCGAAAGGCGACACACACAACCAAGCTCCGCGTAAAAACCAAGAGAGGTAATAAATATTTCACTTCCAGCTCTCCAGAACGACCAAAAACAACGAACGCTATGATACTAGAGAGTAGCATCCCGTTACCAAGGCAACGAAGGAGGAGCTTATGACCTGCCTTTCCATCAAACACCAGAGGCCTATTCATTGGGCGACACGGAAACATACGTGACGCCATTTGATGCTGATTGGTTCTTGTGCTTCCGGAAGCAAGAAGCAATGGAAGGATGGCTTCGGTTACCTTGGCGACAAATGGACCGGTTGAATTGGAGAAGACCTAAGGGAAAAGAAGCTTGACACTAGCTTGAATTTTTTTTTTATTTCATGGCAGTATTTTTCTCTAGTTGAATGCGGAGAATAAAATCATTATGTTCAGTTTCTAGAGGGTGATATTTTTTTATCTGGATGTTTTGGAAAACCTCTCAATGTTGTATCGCCTGTTGCAGCACTTGAGAAAAGTCTCCAATCTGAAGCATGAGAGGCTGTTGAAATATTTTGTAATTCGGAAGCCAATTTTTGGGAGGCTCTAAAACTTGGGCTGTTTTATTCAAACTTCATGAAAAAATTCACCTTCCCCGTTAACAGTGTGTTTCGTTACTTGCAAAGTTTTTTTGAACAATCAACTCGATTTTTAATTGAATTCATAAGCTTTTAAAAGTAGTGTGTTCG